GCGAGCCTAGCAAGATGGAAGTACCGACTGACGAGGATATCCCATTCACCATGGGAGAGCTCGAGGCAGCTCTCGCCAAAGCAAAGGCCAACACGGCACCTGGGCCAGACCGAGTTACGGTTGCGGCACTATACGGAACCTGCCTGAGAAGGGCACCGCCGACCTTCTAGATTGGATCATCAGGATCTGGGAAGAGGGCACCATCCCGACAGAATGGAAGACATCCATTGTCCTTCCGATAAAAAAACCAGGCAAAATTTCATCCGACCTTCGGAATCTCCGCCCAATCTCTCTCACATCAAACTTCTGCAAGCTATGGAAAGAATGGTCCTAGCTCGAATCACATGGATCCTTAAAACACACCGGAAACTACACCGTATGCCGCCGGGGTTTCGTTCCAACTGCTCGACCCAAGACGGCCTGGCGCTTATACACAAGGACATAACCGAAAACCCTGCCAACGCAATGCCCAGAACGATGGTCGCCATCGACATAAGAAAAGGGTTTTGACACAACACCTAATGTCACAGTAATCCGCGAGGGGGATCGGTGGCCGAGTGGGCTGAAGCGCACACCCAGCTCGACGCGCGTGTAGCGAAAGCTCGCGCTGCAGAACCCAGGGATCCTGGGTTCGAGCCCCACCCCTGCCCGTTTCGATCTGGATGAGCATCGTACCAGCGTGCGGTCGTGTATCACTACTGCGTGAGCACGTTAAAGACCCCAGGCTAGCGGTTGTACCGCACTGGCTAAATTGCTCATCTACAGCGTGTGACTCGTCGCAACTTTAATGGCAGACCAACTACACGCTGTATAAATATCCCCACAACCCCAATTATTATTACAGTAATCCTCGCAACAGAAAGAAAAGGACTACGGACACATACTCAACTTCAAGGCCTTCCTGAAGGACAGGCAGTTTTACGTAATCATCGGCCACGCCAAAGGAAACCCCCAACCGAACCACATCCGGGTCCCCCAAGGGGCGGTAATATCCCCACTTTAATTAGCATGGCAATGATGAACCTGGCCTTCGAACTCCAAGAGATCGATGGCCTAGGATTAACTATATCTTCTGATGATGTCACCTTATGAACTATTAAAGGAAACGCATCAAAACAACAGGCCATACTTCAAGAAGCCTCAAACGTCACCAACAAATTCACAAAAAAAAAAAAAAAACGAAAAAAAAACGGGACTGCCTATATCTACCGAAAAGAATGCCTATATGACCATAAATAGCAAACGAGCCCGAGCCAAGAATAACATCCAGCTATTCCTTAACGGTGCTCCCATACAACCACACCCAGCATCAAGGTTTTAGGCCTAACTTTCAACGAAGATGGGAGAGCTTTAAGCTGGCAGAAGCAAATTAAGGCCCAGTGCAAGGACACATTCAACCTCCTCAAACGGATTACCAGCAAATCATGGGGATTTCAGGCGGACTTACTACGAAGATTGGTCAGAACGCGCTGCTGGTCTCCAGAGCAGTTTACGCAATAAACTATCTTAGGTTCGCGGTGACGCAAAAGGAGAAACTTGAGGTTTTCAACAGGTTCGCCATGAGGGTCATCACAGGCCTGCCAAAAATTACACCCATCAAGGAACTGCATAAAGCAGTTCAGGTCAACACCATCGAAGAGATCGCACAAGAAACGAAGATCAGTCAGTACAGCAGGCTGGAGAAGACATGACACGGACGCATCATACTAGAGAGAAACCAGGACATAGCGCATTCCAAGTAACCAACCACCTCAGCCTCCGTGGGCGGACGAAGCAGTCGTCTCCCTCAAACCCACGCCCATGAATCAAGGTGAAGGGCACAGGAATCGCCGCGCAGCTGCAGCAAAAAAAAGAAAAAAAAAACACATCGAAAATTTCGGAAGACTTAGGGAAAGGGAAGACATAGAAATCCTATAGACCTTTTCCGCAAGGGCGCCGCCATATTAAATAGACCCTTTCCGAAATTCAGTGCCATCTGGTGGTTTGTAAAGCAGTTTAGGTTTTGCCATATCAATGGCGGAAATGAACTTGTATCGGCACCATCACTTTCGCGAGTCAACGGCACGCGAGGAATTGTTCAGTGTTAGTTCTTTCTCAATCACTTTCAGTTCGATGGTGACCAAGGACCTGCATTCAGAAGCTCCAACCCACTGAGATGCCTCGAGAAAGTTCTATACACCAAAGTGCTTTAAAGCCGATCGTGTGCCGCCCACAGATTGACTGAATCGGAGTTATTAGAAATAAACGCTTACGTAGCTCTTGTGTTCCATTCCTACGTCGCGTCGTACTGACCCCCCGAATGTGCATGCCTCGCAAGATCCTCTTAGGAGCATTGTCAACGTCTTCCTTTATCATCACTTTAGAAGGCCGCCATTGGTATGGCACAGATGCCGTTCCACAGATGATGATAGGGATCAAAGTGGCCAGACTGAATTTCAGAAAGGGTCTATTGTCGTCATTTCCAGTATGGGCGAAAACATTGTTCTCCCGTCACCACGCCAATAGAAGACATTTAGGAGAAAAGCATAACCGTTACACACTCTCATTTTGCCTCCCCTCTATTTTTTTACTGTTTATAGGTTGAAACATTTTAATAATTTTTCGTCGCCCATACCGGATATGACTATTAGGTGACTGGTGACGAGAGTACACGAAAAAGGTCTATATACGGACGCAGCTAGAGACAACGACGGGAGAACGGCCGTAGCCTGGTTAGCAAAGAGCTCTTTAAAAAAATGAAAGACGTTTACAATCCCCTGTAACGCCGAATTAGAGCGCAGCCCTTGAGGAGAAGGAGGGGAAGGTATGGAGAGGAGGGTATGCCCCTCCTCCTCATACGTATCCTCCCTTCCTCTCCTACTCGCTTCCCATTTAGCGGAAAATTTTTCGCTAAATTTCCCGGGGAATTTTTTCCGCTAAACTTAGCGGGAATTTTTTCCGCTAAATTTAGAGGGGAATTTTTCTGCTAAATTTAGCGGGGAATTTTTCCCGCTAAATTTAGCAGAAGAATTTTTCCGCTAAACTTATCGGGAAAATTTTTTCGCTAAATTTAGCGGGGAATTTTTCACTCACTTTAGCGGGAACATTTTTCCGCTAAATTTAGCGGGGAAATTTTTCCGCTAAACATAGCAGGAAAAGTTTTCTACTAAAATTAGCGGGGAAGTTTTCCGCTAAATTTAGCGGGGATTTTTTTTTCGCTAAATTTGGAGGGAAATATTTTCTGCTAAGTTTAGCGGGGAATTTTTTCCGCTATGTCTAGCGGGGAAATTTTTTCGCGAAATGTAGCAGGGAAATTTACCCACAATGCAACGCGCGGTGACGTCACGAGTGACATCACTGATGATATTCGTGACGTCACGTGTGACGTCATTATGGGAAACGTCCCCTAATGTACCGCGCGGTTACGCCGACGGCGACGCCGACGCCGCTCAAGCTGGAAACGGGCGCCTAAGAGCTGCACTCTGAAAGAGAATAAGCTCGCATCAATGACACCCAGCACAAAAAAAAAAAAAAGCAGAACTGCTCGCCATTCAATTAGCAACTGAAGGTCATGTAAAATGCGCCAACAAACACTTGTACGTATTCACGAACTCGAAGGAAGCGGTTAAAGAATGCCTAGGCAGCAAGAATAATATTACAAAATTGTGTGTAATGTGTGTAGGGGAGGGGCGGATTCGTGTGTATATCTGAACTCACTCTTTCTTTACTTCTCTATTCTGTCTGCTGTCTCACTATCTCTCTTGCTCTACACGCAAATCTGCAAACCAGCCCTCACAAACAGGTTGACCTCTTTGCTTTCCTGTAAATAAACATACCTTCTCTCTTACACGAAAATTCAAGAATTTAGCAAAAGCACTACGTCTTGAAGGACGACGGCTCGAACTGTCATGGATTCCGGGGCACATAGGAATTCCAAGAAACGAAGAGACGAACGAGACAGCGAGGGATAGACTGCAAGATGGAGTACCCTCATAAGGACTCGCCTCCTCTTTGGAAATAGAAATCCGTGGTACCGGACTTAGAGGAACAGAAAGCGATGAAGCGGATCGCCAGGAAACAACGACTGGCATCCCTGCTGCCCATGGACCAGGCGGGAGAGGATATGCATCCGAAGGCTCTAGACATCCACAGCACTGACCCCAGTATGCGTGCTTGATTTTATAAGCCCACTTTACCGAACGATCCTGGCCCAGATCCGCTTTGTGGAACTTAGCAGTGTACCTGCTATCTGCCAGCACCTTATATGGGACTGTCTGGGCATCAGCAAGCAAAGACAACATGCCATGCACGAACTATATACCCGCAGAAGCCAGACCCACAAACTACAGAAAATGGACGACAAGACCGGCCAGTGACAACCTTAATAGGAAAAAAAAAAAAAGATATTTTACTATCTGTTGGGCTACGCTCGGCGGGCTTTTCTCAATTCATTTAACCCACCCCCACTCCCCTACACTAATCACCCTATTCCGTATCCCCATCAAGGCTAGATTATATTTATCAAGAGGCTTTGGTACCCTTTCATCAATAAAAACGTTTAACCGCCACCATGGCCCCGTCCCCAGTGTGAAGCAGATCTCCGCTTCTCGAGCCATGCGGCCTCCGAGATTCCCGGTGTGCCCAAGCCCGTTTCACCTTATGAACCGCAGCGAAAGGTACACAGTCATCCCCGCCAATCCAGCGCTGCGGATCTACCACGTGACTACGCGCCCCGCGCATCACTATACGGCGCTCCCGAAGGTCACGTCATAATGACAGGGTATTGGAGTGGCTTCTAGAACCCTTAGCGTCTTCCGCAGTCCATCGCATAAAGTGAAGATAGAGCACGAGCGCTTCCTGAACTTCAACGCTCGATCCGTTGAGCCACGCGGCGCGCTCCTGCGTCCAGGTGGCTTCGTGGAACGCGTTCGTTCCCAGCACGCGCCCCAGAAGAGAACGAAGCCCGAACGCCCACTGCACATTCGACGGAGAACGCCCAAGTGTCTGACGGCCCGTGCAACATGTCCAAAGTAGCCATGATTCGAGTCAGGCGTGAGTATTGAACCCACTTCTTCTTGGCGCACGTCTCTTTCGCGTCTTTGTCGATGGTCGTGTGTTGCTTCTCGAAGAGTTCCTCTTGGAATCTTCGTGCTTTAAACACGGTGAGGGGGGTTTCTGGTAACGCGCGGAGGCAGGCATGGTCTTCTTTGAAGTGATGTCGGCCAACAGGTACATCGTTTGGAAGGTTCTACCCAGATGGACCCAGGTTCTACTAATCACGCATAAACACTCGCGTAGCAGTGTTCTTCGATAGGGCGTTCGGTGTCGTAGCATTATTTTATGCTGGCAAGAGAACGACTTTGACTCTGCCTCTTTGGGACAGGAATTTTGAGATATTAGGTCTTCTGCGATTGCGGTCACTTAAGAAGACAGACGCTTTTACATCTCGTTTCGCGTCATTGGTCAATAGGGCTGTAGCTCTCAAGTTTCGGTAGCTCCTCTGGCAAGCAAAATCGAACATTTCACGAGCGCGTTTCAATGGCGCGGCATTGTGTTTTTTGACGTTGCTCGCGGACGCTGTGCTGGCAGAATTTTATTGGTGGATAAACATTTTGAAGAAGAAAAAAAATACAATACAAAAAAAAAGCATTCTAATCGTCTTGATAGGACAGCGCGAGCTGCATTTTTCTTTTGTTTATTTAAACTGTTTTTAGTTCTTTCGGACACATTCACCGCGCGTGAACAGATGCGAGCAGGGCGACTATCCGACGCCGTGATTCTACTCGTGCGGGCACGCCCGTGCAATTGCAGGCTTTTCAAAGCTACCACGCTGCGCGTTCTTGCACGCGTGAAGGCAGGCATGGCGTCCCGACTGGTGCCCCATGAATGCAACTAGTGCCACTAAATAAGCTACGCTTCAGAGTAACGACACTTGGCCATATTGTGGCTTAAAATCATGGTTGCCAGTTATCTGAAGCTTTATCTGAAATCACAGGAAATGCTTTTCCGCCCTCCACAAATGTTTAAACCGTTCGCGACAGAGCAAAGCGATATTACATTACCTTCCTAACACCGAATCTAATGCTGAGGAAGTCGCACTTTTGAATCATGACGATCGGCCGTTGCGTCTGTTCTGCATACGAGCCAAAATGGCGGCGCCCACAACAATGTCGGGGAACGGAGTGCCGATACTCTAAGCGCAGCTTATTTAGTGGCTCTAAATGCAACCATCTGCACCTCGCGCGTGAACAGAGATGTGGCAAGCGTAAAATTGCACGGGCTTGTCCGCACGAGCAGAGACATTGCGGCGGCCAGTGACCTTGCTCGAAATCGTCTATACTCTGCACGTGCGAATAAGTGCATGCCATTGACGTTCACGCGCACGCTTAGCGTGCTAGCGCCCATGGGGCGCACCAGTCGGGGCGCTAAGCTTGAAATTCATTGAACATAGTTACAGTTGCGTACACAGGGACAAGGACAGAGAAGAGGAACACGTAGACGACAGACAAGCGCACACTCACTACTCATGTATTAACGAAAGAAGAAAAGAAAGTGGTACGTAATGGCGGAATCCGCTCGAGCGTTGGCCTGTGTGGCCAACGCTCGAGCGGATTCCGCGTTCTGTACCACTTTCTTTTCTTTCGTTAATACATGAGTTGTGAGTGTGCGCTTGTCTGTCGTCTACGTGTTCCTCTTCTCTGTCCTTGTCCCTGTGTACGCAACTGTAACTATGTTCAATAACTACCAACTCGCCCAACTGCCTAGTCTATTGCAATTCATTGTCAATACTCCGCTTCACTCTAAAGGCTGGTTCACACATCTGCGTTGGTTGCGTTCGCATGCAACCTAAACGACCGTAACGACAAAGTCCCCGGGACACGTGTTCGACGTAAGCAGTATGGCAAGCGATGCGCAAGGGGTAGCTTCGCTAAGAAGCAATTCATGAGTCACGGTTGTTGCGGTGTTTTGGTTGTTACGGTCGTTATAGGCGCCGACGTAGTGAAGTGCCGCGCGGCGCTTCACCATTATGATCAACGGTGAAGACATTTTCTCCTTCTTTAGTGTTCATAGTGCGACGGAGTGCCGTTGTGGCGCTGCTGCGGGCATATCGATAATAACGCTGCGTGCTGAACATCCTTGCCATTTTCTTTCTCTGGACGGAGTGATAGTGATTGTTACACCTCCTCTTCTAGACCTGATGAATTTAAAAAAAAAAAATCATAACTTTTGAATACGATGACGATTACTGCCGAAACTTTGGCATATGTAGATGGTTGAGCGTGTTGGTTTCTGATTGATGATGAAGAAAGAGGGACATTGAAGACAAACAGACAACACAGGCTTGTCTGTTGTCTGTTGGGTTTCAAATTTCCAATGTCCCTCTTTCGTTATCATAAATTTGGCATCTGGTTCGAGTCTCTAGCGCTGCATTTGGGTGGAACATAAACGTTCGGTAAAACGTATTTTATTTTTGTAATGAAAAAAAAACAAAAAAACCTCGTAAATTCTTTTAACACCCTGTTAATATATATATATATATATATATATTTTTTTTTTTTTGTTTGCCGCATGAGCGACGGTGTACTCGAAAATTACAAGCACACAGAATCGCACTGCATGAAAAAGGTTGGGTTCTTTCACCGGCTCGTGCTGCCGGTGTTGATCGCAGAGACACGTTAGCCGCGCTCTTGGTCTGGCCTAAAGCCCCTCTATCCTGGGAAAAGTGGCGCCATTCATTGTTGTAGAAATGCTCGAGGCACGTGCCGCGCGCCACTTCTGGGAAGAACATGACGTCTGAAATCTATCTCAGTGCTGTGCTGTGCCGTCATGATCTTCCCAAGGGCTGCACGTTGCACGCGCCTCGTGCATCGACGCACTTTGCGCTACTTTTGAAACATAAAGGGGCTTTAGGTCTCGCCGGCATGGTCAGTGCGTGTGCAATATTGGTCATGAGGGCGAACCAAGGGTCCCTGAATAGGTTTCCAGAGTACCGAAACTCCCAAGCTCCACGCCGTGGCGCTAAAATTCATCCATATCCGTGTCGCCATGTTAGATCCTTGCAATAAGTGTAAGCATGTCGCGTTGATGGCGATGTCAAAAGGTCTTTCTGGTATGTGTGTGGCGCTGTGGATAGCCGCTTTAAATCATTTGCAACATCGTATACAATGCAGTCTAGCTGCACTCAAGTAATCATTAGTCCGTGGTTCACGTTAAAGACCCCCAGGTTAGTAGTCGTACCTCACCGGTAAAATGTCTCATTTTGAGATGAGTCACCTATCATTGTATAAATATCCAGAAATACCAATAATTTACTCGACAAGGATTGTCTGTGCCATGCTCGCAGTGGTGAACTTTATCGCTTAAACATTAATCGCTCATTTCTGTCCTAAGATTAAGCCAATGGCATTTTTTTGAGCATTCAAAAGAGTGTCATATCAATGCAGAAGCATTTCATCGGTATATTTACAACTGCATACAAGCTGTTCAGGACTTGACAGGAACAGGATAGATAGAAACATTGTATCATGCCCGTGTGATAGCTTGACTATTGCTTTCCCTGACAGTTGAAGCTTGCAGCGTGTTCAGCTATGATTTCCCCGTGACGATTCTCAATGCAGTTGCCCGTCGGCGCAATCTCCGTAAATAGTTAATGCAGACAAATGAAACTGACGGTGAGTTACGATAATGGCTTGATAGGAAATCAAGGACCCTCTAAACCGAACAACCCAAGAATGTTCGTGTCATCATTCATTCAACCTGAGCAGCAAGATGCATCTCATTCATTAGGGGCATCAGGTCACCTAAGACCGTGCTGTCAAGACTTCATTCATATTTTTGTACCACAAAACAATAAAACAGCAATGTTATAATTAAGAAAAAAACTCAAATGACAATTGCCTGAGTACCCATTCACACAATACAGTGTTTGGTTAAATTGCATTATGAGTCACTCGGACATTCGTGCTTCGAATTTTACATGTAAAACTACTCCTTACATTTTTTTTTTTTACGCTTTGTACTATGCGAACCAATTTAAATAAAAAGAACTGCCGTATAATTCTTATACAGAAGCAGACGTTCTTCCAAGCATCGTTCGTGCCGAACCAAACTCAGTCGAAACAGCCTGATCAGAGAAAACCAGTGAAACTCTTGCTTCCTGCAGTGGACTTGTAATTGCTTCGTTTTATAACGGCAAGCCAAACAATCCTCCACTTCACATTAGCGTTCTTGCTGACCGGGAGGGGAAGAGTCTTTCGCCATTCTCTGCCCTGCTTCGGCACCCGAAGGCACAGCAAGCAGGCATATGGGAGTCCCGAAATACGAAACGCTAAAGGCGCGTTCACATTCTTGCAACCGAGTACGACCGAGAGAGACGAGACCTGTTGAAACCTCTTAAAATTTCTTAGGACGAGCGAACACACCGGCATTCTGGTGCCATTTATGCGGTGACCCTGGAACTGCATTTCACAAGAGCGAAGGTTTTGCGGGATTTCTGAGGTCAAACGTGCGTAATACCTATAAGAAAGGCTCGTTTACAACGTTGACAAAATTTTTCTAGCCAAGAAAGAAAGGATAATGCGCGAGAGAAATAGAAATTATGCCGGACCGCCAAGTTTACACTGATACCCAATAGATGGCACCAGTGTGTCCTCTCGTTGTAAGAGGTTTCTCTTACAACTCTTACAACTCGCAAGAGTGTGAACGGGCCCTAAACGCGATTCCAGAAGCGACCCGGAGCGTTGCAGCAGAAGCTGGCGGGATTCAATGCTCACGGCATCGATTAAAACAAAAAGTGATAATGATAGTGACGGCATACGTCTCACGTGACTGCTGCCGTCCAGTGACGCCGCAGGAAATCAGAACATACACGGCTAGAGTGGGGCTGTTGTCGGCAAAGCATCAAAGCACTTTTCTGCCCCTCCTGTACCGGTGCAGAAAAGTGTAGGGCAGTGTACTTCCGGTGTATGTGTATTGAGTGAGAGACGACCGGAAGTGCACCACCCTACACTTTTCTACACAATGCAGGATGTGCGACTAAATACTTCAGCTTGAACGAGTTGGTGGTTCATGCTTACACTTCGCAGCGCACAAGTGTGTGATTTTGTCTGAAGTGTGTGAGTGAACGTTTGAAGTGTGTCTGTTCTTGCGCTCTGTGAAGTGTAAGGTGAAGGTAAATCGAGCGAAGCTGTTGATTGTCAACGCGCGCAATCTGACCGGTGACGCAATGCTCGTCTCCAATCCACATTCCGTCGGGACGCGCCCGGAACCATAAGAATCCGGGCAGATACCGAAAGGGTGTACTTGCACTGACTAGATTTATCATCTAGGGCTGAGAGACAAATTTCCCTCTGAGGCTAGACTAACATCCGGCAATCTAAACATTCATAAATACATCCGCACCACAGTATCTAGGTGTTGCATTACGATTCATTATCACTGGCTAACCTGCACTCACTCTTATTTCGTTAACACAATTACTTTTACATATCACAATATATACGGTAAGCTTCTTGAAGGAGAGAAAGAAAACAAGGTATAGTCAGCCTTTACCTAGAGCCACTAAATAAGCTGCGCTTATTTAGCGTAGCTTATTTAGTGGCACTACCTTTACCTTCGGAATTACACAAGGGAAATCAGGTTTCTGGCTCCTATCTCTCATGCGTTACTGGAAGTGCATAAAACTGACGTCGGCCACTGTGAAGGCCGCGGATGACGCGCAGGAGAGCCTGACGCCACCCTTTGTGTCCATGAGTGGTGCCGGTCAGAAGGACGTGCCACACGAGTCGTTCCTGTAAAACTCCCTGAATAAACATATATTGTTTTATTGACCCTTTAAATTCACCACAGTAGCCTTCGCTGTGCTTCAAAAAGGGTAAAGCCTGGTTCAGACACTAGCGTTTGACTGCGTTTGACTGCGTTGTGGCAGCGAAAAACCAGGACATCCCTGCTACTTATATCTAGGGTGTGCACTTTCCGGTTTTAACCGAAAAACACCGATAAACATCCGTCGGTGACGAAAATATAAAACCGGTTAAAACCGAAAAACACCGGTGGTTGGATATTTTCGCCCTGGTTAAAACCGAAAAACACCGGTCGTTGCTAGTTTCCGACCTAGCGAAACCCTTTCCCCGTAGAGGTTCGTCAAACGTGTTATCTCGCGGATCCTGCATTTTTCCAGTGTTTATGCATGGTTTGCAGGTGGCGTCAGTCCGCCCTCCTCTCTGGGAGTCAAAAGCGTCTAGTGAACGCAGTGGAAGCTAAGCTCTCATACGCCTTTCCCCTATTGTGTCTCCCATTGCCCCCCTTTTGTGGAAAAATTAACACAGTGGAGAATAGGCTCTCACGTGCCTTTTCCTCATTGTGTCTGGCCAAGTGATGTCGGTGCAAGCCATGTATTCAGAGGTTGCTGTGGTTCCTGGAAGACACTGCCAACGTCCGTGTCGTACAGGAGAGTGCGTTTTCATAATTGCAGGTTGCGAGCCGCAAGGAACGTGCTGCCATGACGGCAGCACGTTCGTTGCGTGTAGGTGCAAGCATGAAAGTACGCTTGCATCTACTATAATAAGCAAGTGTGAGAAATAGTTGCTTCCTAGAGAAGAAGTGTATGAACTATGCGAATAAAATTGGAACTCTCTCCCTGTGATCAATCGCTTTTTTTCACCGATATTCACCGATTTTAGCCTCGTCGTGAGACGTTCCACCGAAATACACCGGTGTTTTGAAAATAAATAAACACCGAAAAACATCCGCCGATTTTTCTCACAAATAAACACCGGAAAGTGCACACCCTACTTATATCGCGTGCCAAGGTGATTCATTGAATTGGAGTCCACGCTTCATACGAAGCACAAATGTGCCGGTGACTCGCTTTCGGTTCTCGACGCAACGCACTCAAACGCAAGTGTCTGAACCGGCCTTAACCGCCGAATTCAGAAACCTCGCTCAAGCTACACTCAAACTTAAGGGCCCCTCCACTTCCTCGAGGAAGGCGCGAGGGCCGGCGCTGGCCAATCGCGACGACGGATCCGTCCTCGCGATTGGCCAGCGCCGGCCCTCACGCCTTCCTCGAGGAAGTGGAGGGGCCCTTCAGTTTGAGTGTAGTTTGAGTGAGGTTTCTGAATTCGGCGGTAAGAAGGCAGCGTATACTCCGCTCTTAACAGCAGCACCATGTGATAGTCGAGTCTGGTGCTTCCATGCGACAATACACGCCGAGCGGTTCTTGCTGTGTCCCAAGGAAGGACTACAATCTTCTTACTCAACCAAGCGGTCCTCTCTGTCCCAAGGAAGTAATGTTTTATTAAATCGATCGGGGGCAATTGTCAAGTATTTTCTTCTTCTTCGCCTGATTGAAGAAGACGAGAAAGCGTGGCGTGGGAGGGTCCTCGCGATCTCCCGCGCGTCTCGCGGCGTTCTCGGCCACCCATTGACCGACGGAGGATCAGCGGAACCAGTCGCAGCAGCAGCGGCAGCTCGACTCCCGGCCTGGAACCATCGCCTTCGCTGGTGGCCGTGCGCCGGGTCCTTCCGGCCGGCCGCCAACACCTCTTTACGGCCCTGGCAAAGCCTTCCTTGCCCCCAATGGAGAGCGTTCCGGTGGTCCGAGCTCGCGGCCGTGGAAGAGGTGCCGTCACAACTCCCTCTTGCCCTGTATGTCTTTGCTCTGGATGTCTCCAAGCACCGCCAAAAGTGCATCGCCACGGTGACCGTGACGAAGCACTTTTGACGCTGCTTGATTGGCTCCATCGGACAATAGCATCGGCTGCTTTCGTACCTAGACTGGAGCGGAGTATAGTCTGCGAAATATGAGGCTTTAAGCATTCCCACCAGCTCTCCGCGTATTTCTCGGTTTGCCAATTTACGGCTGATTATTCCCTGGCAGTCGATCTTTCTGCTTGGACAGTTCATGTACTACACTATATGCCTCTATACGTAGACAAGTCACTGTACAAGTACGCCTTTTTGCAGGGGGTCCAGGAAGCGGTCCGCAGAGCCAGGTGGGGCCGTCGGCTCTGCAGGTTCCGTACACGGCTCCGTCCCAGGGCTCCTTTGCCCAGGCCATCCAGCAGCGTGTGACCGTCCAGCAACTCCGCTCGGTGTCGGCCAATGGTAGCGTCACTGCCGCCGTCAGCGGGGCCTCCACCGGGCCGCGTTGCCTGGCGCCCAACCAGAACGTGGCCAACGGTTCGCCGCCCCGCGTCGAATCGCCGCGCACCAATGGCGTGGCGACCCCCGTCAAGACGCACACGGACGAGCTCAAGATACAGGAACTGGAGCGCACCCTTCCGTCGCATTTCCCACGTCGACCCGCCCACGGGAAGCTGGGCAGACCGATCCACTTGACTGCAAACCACTTTAGCATCGAGATCCCCAGCGGGAACGTCTACCACTACGACGTCGAGATCTTCTCCGAGGGACGAAAGGAGGCCAAGGTGCCCGACAAGCGCAAGTACCGCTGTATCAGCACCAAGATCAACCGCATGATCATCGAACTTCTGGTGAAGAAGTACCGCGGGGACCTGAGCAACTGCATTCCCGCCTTCGATGGCAGAAAGAATCTGTACACGAGGCGCGAACTCAAGTTTAGGGAGCGCACCTTCACGGTCGACTTCGAAGAAGACCAGCGCATCCAGAAGTTTATCGTCAAGATCCAGTACGCCGCCACCGTGAACCTAGACGCGCTGCACGCCGTCTTCGACAATCGCGTGAACACTGTTCCGCAAGAGGTGCTCCAGGCAGTGGACATTGTGCTGAGGCACGGGCCGTCCATCAAGTTAACTCCTGTCGGCAGGTCCTTCTTTAAGCCTCCCCCTCCTCAAGAGAACAACACGCTGGGAGGTGGAAGGGAGGTCTGGTTTGGCTATTACACCAGCGTACGGCCCGCCCAGTGGAAGCCCATGCTCAACATAGACATGTCAGCAACCGCCTTCTACGAGCCCATCCCGGTCATGACCTTTATGTGCCGCATCTTCAGCGAGGGGCGCCGAGAGATGACCCCTGCGGACTTCAGGGACCTGCGAGACTTTCAGAGCGTGCGCCTGAACAAAGAGCTGAAGGGCCTTCGCATCAAAGTGACGCACCTGCCGTACCCCCGCAGGTACAAGGTGGTGCGCATTACCAAGGAGTCTGCCAAGAAGCTCTACTTCACAATGGATGACGGCTCGCGCAACAGCGTGGCTGACTACTTCCAAAGCAAGTACGGCCGCCTGTCGTACCCGAACCTGCCCTGCGTGCAGAGTGGCAGCTCGACGCACCCGGTCTACTTGCCACTCGAGGTCTGCGAGATCATTGAAGGCCAGCACTGCAGAAAGAAGCTGGATGAAAACCAAATTTCAGAGATGATTAAGCGCACTGCGCAGCCTCCGGCGAAAAGGTTCAACGAGATCCGTCAGTCTGTTCGGGATCTGGTGAGCAGCAACGAACCTTACCTGCGAGAGTTTGGCATCAAGATCAGCACTGACCCGACGCAGCTCAGGGGACGTGTGCTCGATCCGCCTTCCCTGGTGTTTGAAAACAACGCGGTGACGAAGCCACGCGAGGGAACGTGGGAACTGCGAGGACGTCATTTCTACAAGGCGGCTTCTATGACACGCTGGATCATCCTCAACTTGAGTCGCTTTCCCCAAAAGCACGACCTGGACAACTTCGTTAAATTGTTGCTTCGAGTGGGTCAGGAGTTGGGAATGAGGATCGAAATGCCGTTGGACGTGACCGTGGCGGATGCGAACCGTAAGTCGACCAGGGCTATCCTGTCCGAGCTCATGGCGAAGTACACCAACCTGGAGATTATGGTGATCGTGCTCGCCAAGAACAGCAACTACGCCGAGATCAAGCAGGTGGCAGAAACAGACCTGGGACTGCGTACGCAGTGCATTATGGACAACAACGTGATCAAGAAGTGCAATGCGGCGCTGGTGACCAACCTGTGCCAGAAGCTGAACGCCAAGATGGGCGGCACCAACAACAGCCTGCTGGCGCAGGAGAAGCCGGCCATCTTCCAGAAGCCCGTCATCATTATCGGAGCCGACGTGACGCACCCTGCCCCGGGCGACAAGCTGCGGCCCTCGATCGCGGCCTGCGTGGGCAGCCTGGATTCGATCCCGTCCAAGTTCCACGCGTCCATCCGGATCCAGATGGAGGACTCGGCGGCCATGTCGCGCGTGGAGATCATCAAGGACTTGAAGGATATGATGAAGGACATGCTGAAGGCCTTCTACCGTGCCACCAAGCACAAGCCCGAGCGCATCATCTTCTACCGGGACGGCGTGAGCGAGGGCCAGTTCCTGGAGGTGCGGAACCGCGAGGTGAGCGCCATCCGGCTCGCCTGCCAGGAGCTGTCGCCCAACGAGACGTACGAGCCGGCGCTCACGTTCATCGTGGTCCAAAAGCGTCACCACACGCGCTTCATGCCCTCCAGCGACCGGGAAGGGGTCGGCAAGTGCCGCAACGTGCCCCCGGGCACCACCGTGGACTCCGTGGTCACCCACCCGCTCGACTTCGACTTCTTCCTTTGCAGCCACTTCGGCATCCAGGTACGCACGCGCCACTTCGTGATTTGAGCGCTGGCCCTTGAACGTGTTGTAGATGCAGCAATGGTTTTGAAACATATATGTCACCTATTTGTGAAATAAATGTCAGCTTCATAGTTGTTCGCCACCGGTGGCCAACAGTAACTTAGACCTCCCGGCTTTGGATTGTAAATTGAGGTATGAGGGAGGAGACAGCAGGTTATAGATCATTGCGCAAGGGTTGCCATCCATCGTTTTGAGTGCAGGATATGAAATGTGAGGAACCATTTTGCTAATAAAATTAGTTAGCTATTTAACCATAGTTTATTACATCGAATCATTAGCGGGACAACCGGATGGGAACGACGGAGCGCCCGTGTTTGTGATTATTCGGTCACGAAAACACCACCACACGCTGTGATCTCCGGCGTTCTTACAGATAAGGACCGACCATGATTTTCAAGTGGGCCGTCTTTCCACAAAGTAAACGAATTGATACTCCAGCTGAAAGATTATGAGCAGATTACGTGTCAGTTCATTGAACCGTGTGGCAAACTTGGGGCAACGCACCCCCGGGGTCCGCCCACCGCGCCCTGGTAAAAAGGTACGCTCTTTCCGGCGCAGGGCACCAGCAAGCCGTCGCACTATTACGTTGTGTGGGACGACTCGAACTTCACCGCGGATGACCTGCAGAAGCTGTCGTACTACCTGTGCCACACGTATGCCCGCTGCGCGCGCAGCGTGAGCATTCCGGCGCCCGTGTACTACGCTCACCTGGCGGCCTATCGCGCCAAGAACCACGTCATCTCCAAGGTGGACGTGTCCAGCTCGAGCAGCGACTCGTCGGGGGGCAGCGGAGACATGGTGCCCACCAGCCAGTACGTGGACGCCGTGAGGGTGCTCGACTCCCTGCAGACCGCCATGTACTTTGTGTGACCCCAGGTAACCGGCTCTATGCTTTACCTTACCAATAAAGACGAGTAGCTGTAGAGTGCACCACGCATGTGACGTAGTCGCACCATGCTGGTGGTCATTGGAACATGTTCTTGCCGAGAAACAGGCTCGGTGGTGCGAAACGAACGCTGCAGGGAGTACACGCACTTAGCAGAAAAACGTCACAACAATGGCCCCTAGTGTGAAGCCAGTAAAAGCAATGTCATATGCCTGCGCGGGACACTGCCATAATGCCGTGGCGCTGCTATCATGGCACTTGCGCAGACGCGTTTTCTTTTTTCCACTCAAATTAGGTTTTGCGCAAGCGCCGTGCCCGCACCCGGTGGGGGCAAATGTGGATTTGTCTATGAACAGTGTTTTGGTTTATGAGCCAACACGCTGTTGGCAAACCATCCCGCATTTGCACCCACCAAATGTGGACGTTTGCGCACACGCAAAAAGGAGATTCTCGTGAAACGAAGCGTCTACGCATGCGCCGTGCCTATCGCAGCGCCGTTATCGCAGCGGTGCGAGAACTTGGGGAGAGTGACTCGGTAGCTGCAACGGGAAGCAGAACCGGACGTACCCTGGCGCCCATGGCTATACGCCCCTTTCGACCCTTGTTTCGAATAATACACCCGCTGTTGCGCCGCTGTTGTATGAAGCTCTCTTATTTTGTTGGAAGGGTATTGAGAAAGACGCTGCGGTGCACTCCGGCCAACCCACAATATGCCTGGTTCAAAAAAGCTCTAGCGGAGGAGATTTGATCAACATACGTCAGGGTGACCACCCGTCCCGTGACTCGCGGGACTGTCCCGTATTGAGTGCTCGTGCCCCGCGTCCCGCAAGAAATACCAAAATCTTCCAAATGTCCCGCATTTCGCATTGTCGCAACATTCACTACGCAAATTATGGCGCTACCGAACAACGGGCCACGGGGAAGCGCGGAGGTCGCTGATAAACGTTTGAATCTTGATGGTGTGCCATTTTCTGTCCACGCACTGCGGGAAGCGACCGTCGTTCTTGCAGGAGACGACGGGGAGAAGGGGAAAGGTACAACGAAATGCGCCGTTGTGCCTCTCCCCTTGATGGCAAAATATTGCGAGCGAAAATTGCTCGCCAAAAGTTGAAAAAATAAACTATTGCAATTATTTGCAAATCATACTGTATCATGCGAAAGGGTTGTTGTGGAAATATTGGTTTTAGTGAAGGCGGCCACACAGGGCAAAAAGCCTGCAACTCACAAAGGTCGAAAAAACAACATAAGGTTCTAATTTTGTGTAGGAGCATGTTGGTATAACAGTAAGAATGTACAGAAAACAATAAGCCGAACAATATTTACTGTTTCTTATTTCCGTTTGATGCATTGAAATCTGGTGCAGTGGATTTTTATGTTTTTAACTCACACACTTCTAATAAAATATTTACCATTACAATTAAACAAAAAGATATCACTGTTAGTGAAAATTATTTTAGATTAATTGCCGCACACAATTTCCAGGTGTATAAAATGCTTTCGGACAGCACAGGATTTCGGGGTGTGCGTGTTGGTGAATTTCCTGTAACACCTTTTTTTTGAGTCGTGAAAATACCGTCCTCCCCTTACTCCCCCCCCCCCGGTCAGGGTGCCCCGCATTTCGCCGGCAGAAAGGTGGTCGAAGAACTAATGCGTGCACTAATGATTTTTTACTAATGGGGACATTCATTGAACCTCGATAAATTACCTCATGCAAAATATAGACAAAAAAACATGACAGATCCGTTTTATAATGCAGTGCCATCCGTTGGCTTAAAGAGCAGCTTCCCCTTTGACAAACTAATGGCGGTCATGAAACTATTTCATCGGACTGGGCACCGACAGTTTCGCATGTCAATGGCAGATGGGAATTGGTTCTTCGATCACCTCATAATTCTTTCTTGATATGTTTCCGTTTAGATGGTGGGAACTGTTGGTACACTGTAATGGACCGTCACAAGATGGCGCCACGTCCCCAGCAATAAAGTCGCGCAATCGTTCCTTTTTTTTTTTTTTCGTATTTCTCCCTTTTTACATAATAAACAAGATGGCAGCTTGAAAGCTGCGCGTCGTTTCTTGGCTCACGCCAATCCACTCAATCCGCGTCCCCAGTATTGTGGTCACCCTGCGTACTTGACAAAAACCAACATGAACATAAGAACTGACGAGGACAAAGCGGCTACCCATGAGTGCCTCGATTAAATTTCCGCCATCAATGGCGTTACCGCCAGACTTGTGCCAATATGTTGATTGAATCGCACTCTGAAAGAAATGCTTACGCAGTCGTTGTATCTAATTCATGCGTCGTGTTGCACTGACGTCTCAAGCGTACAGGGGATCAAGCGGCCGTGGTACGGGCCTCGTACATCTTCCGCTTGGTGGCATCTTCTTCCTTCATCAGCATCAAGAAGGACGCCATTAGTTTCGGCACAAATGCCATACACTGAGGTGATGAAGTTGTCACACTGAATTTCGGAAAGGATCTATTTTAGTCTTCTTAATATATATCATCTCAGAAATTTTGTCTAACCACTTTGATCACTATCATCATCCGAGGAATGGCATATGTGCCATACTGATGGCGGCCTTTTGGTTATTTGGTTATTTGGTTACTGATGGCTGAAGAGATTGAAGATGCTCCGAAGCGGATGATGCGACGCAGGAATCGAATACGAGAGCTGCCTAAGCGTTCATTTCTAACTCGGGTCAAGTCAATCTGTCGGCGGCACAAGATCGGCTTTGCAGTCCCTTGAAGTATAAAACTTTATCTCGGCTTCAATGTGGGTCGCTGCTTCGTCCTTACCGGTTGTACATTTGCCATCATCAAAGCTCGGAGATACAGAAAGGTAAAAACAATTCCCGACTGCTGTTGTCTAGCAAAATGGCTGGTGCCCGGCAAAATACTACAGACCGCAGGTCGATTACCGCCCTTAGTACGGTAAAAGGTAGACTGCTACTGGGGCCATCAGATGGCACTGGACCTCGAAAGGGGTCTATTGGTGATACGGTCACCGGTGAAACTAGTATACCTGTAGAGTGCTAGGCACTCAAGATGTTCCGGAGACGTATACCGGTCTCATTAGTGCTTCGATGCGCCTCTTTTTTTGCGTTGTTGGAAAAGTGTAGGTGGACGGCGCTATTAAAGAAGGGAAGGGGCAGGGCAAAATGTTGGACGTAATTGCGTTACTTCCAAAAGTAGTCAGATCACTCTTGTGATTTTGTATCAAACAAAAATATTCAAATAATTACAGAAATAGTGTCGAAAATTGATCGCTTATACGTAATTTGATTATTTGTAACGAGGATTATTCAAGTTTTTTTCCTTCGCACAATCGTAGCTCTACTTGACGAGTGACAATGATGGCGAATTCAGGTGGTCAAACACCAGCGAGCCCTTGCCAGTGACACCAGCTACTAAAAACGCGCCAGCGGCGCACCACGTGATTTTCTCCACCTGAACATTAAACAAAAGCACCATTTGCCGGCGCCTGGTGTCACCGAGCGCCGGCAAATGGTGCTTTTGTTTGCCTGGGTCGCGGGTGAGGTTTGGCTACTTCTTCCTCGATTAATATATGGTACAATGAGCACGCTGTACGCGACCACAACACGAATTCCGACTCCCTGAGATGTGCGTGAACACAGGTGGCTTCACAATAGTTTTCGAAATAGTAACATTACCACAGTCCGCACAGCTTACAGGATCTTAAATTATAATATTAATGGGAGGGCAGATTCATAAATCGGAGTTGAGTCTGGATGACCGAAGAACTGTTGCCATTTTACCAGGATCCCGAGGAGGCTTGCCAACATCACTTTTCATATTTTATTTATGGTTCTCACCTTCTTTTTTTTTTTTTTTTGGGGGGGGGGGGGGGCGGGGGATTTATAGTTTTTTAATGGGGCCAACCTCCTACATCACTATCCATAAAAGTTTTTTTTTTCTTTTTTTACAGCGGTGTAATTAGCACCCCATGCCCCAAAAACAAGCTGGCCTCGCGCAAGCTAAACGAAGTCTTCCAAAAAATGTTGGCTTTCTTTAAAATATTCATTATCTCTATCTTCGTTGTTTGCCTTGTCTCGGAGCAGAAAATGGTGTCTGTCTCAATGGCATCGTTTGCGACTCGAACCCTCTATTTGCCGCTATCGGCGATCCTTTTTTCGCTTAGTTCCCTTTCCCGATTCGGATGTGCCAACACCGGATACAGTCTGGCAGACAAGCTGCCCAACGTCTGGCAGCTCGGGAAAAAATTGTACGGCCCAGAGATCACTGGTGCCGCAAAATTGCCGTCTCGCACCTTAAAAGCGCCAGCCAAACAGCTATCACTCGCAAGCCGCTGACCACGCAAACGCCCCTGCCGAAGATATATGTGGCAAAATATTTTGCCGGAAACTGACCACCTGAGTTCGCCATTAGTCACTTTGCGCCCAGATCTCGCTAATAGGTATTTTTAGGAAGGTCCTTTTTACATTTCGATAATGATACCCGACACTCCACCGGCGCTTTTGCGCATGCATCGTATCGTTATTGATGCGCAAAAACGATCTTAACTCCCTAATAGAAAGTTTTCGTAGACCGCGTTTTCCTCTCCGCTAAGCCCTGCGCAACGAAGAAGCCACTACTGCGCCTGCGCGGCGATGGCCTTGGGTGTAGAGTTCCGAGTATCGTAGCGGCTTGCGGAGAGCGTTGCGGGAAAGCGGAAACGATCTACGAAATCTTCCTGTTGAGGGTTTCCAGTAGACCTCAAGACGGCATGCCACTGGCCTGGGCTTTATCGGGTTCTTCAGGAATCCCAGAGGGTGATTAATATCTAGCCATGACAAGGCGCCGTTTGACGTATTGGGGACTTTTTGTGAATAGTACGCTGCGGATTGTGGATCTTGCGGGCACGTGGTTAGTCTGTGCTCAAAGTGATAGCAGGAGCTTCCGCCAACAACACGCAAGGTTCTTGCGTACGATCTACGAAAAATTACCAATGATTTCCTCGTG